CATTCATAGCCGAAGGGTATTTTGGTCATTTTAACAATTTTGGGACATTAGCTTAGTTTATGTATTTTGTCTTCTTAAGATCAATGAAATAAGTTTGAGATTTAAATTCATTCTAGGTTGCAAAGAGACATTAAAAGAAATAAGTCATTGGATGTTCCAAAACAAAGACATTAATATTAGGTTGTCATGTTTTATAACCTAAGAGCTTGGAAATGATATTATATCTTACAATTAGTTTTGAGTTTTGATTTAAAATTTTGTACACATGCTTTGATCACTCTTGTGTGTATAATTACAAATGCAAACAAGGATTTGGATGAAATTAAATTGCCAAAATATTAGATTACGAGACAAACTACAAAGCAAGAAAACCCTATAGTGACACATGTGCAAGAGTTAATTCAAAGAACTTCCAATGACTCTAAGTATTGAGGATTTCGACCAAGCAGGCCTTAATCAACCTTTAATCATCTTTTTAAAAATGTTTAGTGAGTTTAATCAAGTATGGAGCATCCTACAAGAGCTACATGTGCATCCAAGTTAACCTAGCTTGAATGGTGGCCACATTCATTCTTAAACCTCCTAACTAAGTTTGTTAAGTAGTTTCAGATATTTTATGGCTTTGATCACCTAAAACACATCCTATTATACTCATTTTACACCATTATAAGCTAAATATGGGGGTTTGGGTCGTGTACACACTCATTCACTCATTTTACACATCACAATTCACACACATATTCTCTTTCACTTTTTTGAAATTTCTAGCACCATTTTATCCAAATTTTCTCTCATTTTCCTCTACTTTCCCACACTTTCTTAGCCTTAATCATTCATGTCAAGCAAGTATTGAAGCCAAGGAAGTCATCTCAAGGAGGATTTAAGCTTTGATTCAAGGAGAATTCACCATGAGAGGTTAGATTTTCAAAGCTTTTCAAGGAAGATGAAGCCAGATCTTGAGTTCTCCTAAACCTTTTCTTTGCTTTCAATTGTTTTGAATTCTTCTCTTCTCCTTCTTTAATTCTTAATTCATGCTCTTAATGATTGATTCTAGGTGTTAGATTAATCATTATGGCTGAAATTCATGTTCCAAAGAGGAGAGGATGCATGGATGTGTATTTGATTTTTGAACTAATTGTGCACTATAAGTGTTTGTGTTTATGCCTCAAGGTTTTGATGAATGAATACATGATTTCTTTTCAATCTCTTACTGTGTTGCTGTGCAATTAGCCATAGTTTAGGTCTTAAGCTTTGGTTAATATCATAATCTTTGTTGGTTTAAGGTCTTAAACATGATCAAGAGAAGAGCTAGGACTAGTTTTAAGGACTGAATTACATATTGGTATATCTATTTTAGGCGGTTTGTGTATTGTGTTCTAAGTGATTACTAGATTTTAATCACTATCACCTAATCTTGATGGTCATTAAGACACCTTCACACGCCAATTGAAGAAGGAAATTGAATCTAAAACTATGTGACAAAGAATAAGGATGGAAGTGGTGGAATTTAACCTTGAGAAGCTACTTTGATACTTTGTTGATTCCTGCACATTTTCTTTACATTAAAATCAAATATAAACATTTAATTTTTTTTCCTTAAACTCTTAACTTCAACTCTGGACTTTTAACTTGTCATGATCATTGACTTAATTTAATTGCAAAATGCTTGCTTCTTGAGGATATAATGACCTAGAATGCTCACATTACTATACCTTAGTTTCTTTAAGAAGCTTGACAGGACTCACGGCTTTTTATTCATCTAAAACCATGTTACCACTACTCAAGAAGGGACGTGGTTTCCTATTCTTATAATTTATATGATTGGGAAACCACATCCCCCTTTGGCAAGTGGGGATGTGGTTATGTGGTTTTCAAAAATCACATCACCATTCGAGCAGTGTCTATGAAAAGGGCCATGTCACTCTTTCTTTAAGTAGGACGTGGTTAATGTTTTTCACGTCACAAATTTAAGTGACATGGACAAATCATTATTCTAAATTACCCAATATGATAGCTCCTTCAATTGTGATGTGGAAAGGCTTAAAAATATAATATGAAAAGGTTATTTTGTAATAGTGTGGAAATTTTGAGCAATTTATTATATGGCTCTCTCAGCAGCAAATGGTTTCATGGAATCAGGGTACTCTACATATTTTCATATCCATATAATCCTTGTCAAGCTAATTAATTTCCTCATCGCTGTACGATCAACATGTACGCTACCCAACTAGTCCATCCATCATATTGACTTGCTTATTTCTTTCTCATGTCTTGTTCTTCTCGATTGTGGTTTGTTTAAACTATAAGTTTCATCTTCAATTTTTAGCTCGTTTGTAATCGTTTGACTTTGATTTGATCTATAATTGGCTTTTTTTTTATTGAGTGCATGTGTCCTCTTACAATCAAACACTAAATATAAATATATTTCTTAATAAGTATTTGAATCTTATATAAAAAAGTAATGAAATTTTTTGTTCTTTAAATTTATCTCGCTTATCTACTTGCTTCATGAAATTCAATTGTTTACCAATCATTACGGTTTGAAGGATAAATAACATCACAGAGACTATTTGTTATGTATAATTATAAAACTTTTAGGACCTAATTAATAAATATTAAACTTTTAAAACTAAATTGATTATTGACATATACTTAAATAATCATAAGTTTCATTATCCAAGAATGCTCATAATTCACAGGCATAATAGAATTAAAACCTTTGGTTTAATTTCTTGCACATTAAACACAAATAAAACATACTATTAATTAAGTGTTTGCTGATCATTAACATTACCTTCACGCATCCATCGTATATCCATATGTTGAGAAATATTTGTGTGTTCAGAGAAGCTACCAATAGTGTTAATTGGCTGACTATCAAGGGCCATCACACGTGCGGATGTTTGATTATATGATTATCAATTACTCAACTTTTAGGTGTGTAGAGGCTTTTTTTTTTTTTAATATCGATTTCTGTTCTAAAATCACACCCAATGTCTAGTTTCTTTTTAACTATACATGATTTGATGCTAGAAACTTTATGAATTGTTGAAAAAAGCAAGAAGAGGAAGAGGAAGTTAACTATTTTATGAAGAAAAAGAATTGGAATTTTACAGCTTGGCTCTGGCCAAGTCAAATAAGGACTTTCAAGAGCAGTCTATGTACACGTTTGACCATGGATTTTTTTCTTTTGGAAAAAAAAAACAATGGAAGAGTTTTAAGAACCTTACGTAAGAATCTGGACAAAGAAGTGTATTATGAATTTACGATGATCCCCCAATAATTAAATACATTAAGAAGCCAACACCTGAATCGACGTGTGTACGCGCGCGCGCATCCTCCAACAGTCCGATGGCACCAAGAAATCAAAAGAAGAAAATATTTACAATGGTCACATAATCATCCTTTTGTGTGTGTGTGTGTGTGTGTGTAACGACCTCTGCAAAATAATTAAGTGTATATTTTAATCTGGGACGATGTGAAAGATTCAAAATAGCAGTATATGTTTAATACTTTGGTGAGTTTAATTATAACATAGTTAATTATATAATTAACGAAAAGAGAATTCGGATTTTAAACAGTTAACGTACAACAACGTCATACATATATATATTGATCGCCATATATTCGCCTCCACCATTGAAGTCAAAGACTTTATATGAAAGGCTTTAACCGAGGAGCCTTTTGAAAGATACCTTTTTTCAAATCACTCGATGATAAGGTTGACTTTCAAAAAATTTTATTAAATTTAGAGATTGATTTGACCAAATTAATTTTGTAGTTCCATTCTAACCAAGTTGATTTAAAACTAGTGCAAGCGACACATTTTATTTTAGTCGGATCTGTATATCCAAACCGGCTGGCGACTTGTTAATTACTAGGAGAGTTACTCAACCAATAAAATATATGAGGTCAACATCCCAAATGTAAAACCTCTATGTTTTTTCCCAGAAATTTTATAATATCCTGTAATATGTTGTACGGTTTTCCATATTCTATGAGCAATAATATATATATATATATATATAATGTTTTTAAATCTTGACAGAATATAAACTTTATTTTCAAATAATTTTGGACATAATTCTTTTTACAGTCATAATATAGATTAATTACATGAAATTCTTACAAATTTTAAAAACACGCACATACAAATTTCAACTCCAAAGATGACGCGATATTACTGTAATAATGCTACGAGAACTAATTATTCCCTAAAAATTAAAAATTATTAGGATCTCGTCCAAGTTGCCTATAGCTATGGTGATTAGAAGCTACTCCTTCTAATTCTTATCATAAAACACTTTAAACCTTTTCATGTTTTTTAAAAAAGTTAGTATTTTTTACATCATAAAAACATAAGATGTATTTTTATTTTTACCCTTAACTTTAAATAATGATATAAGTATATTAACTGCATTCACATTAATCAAGAAAGGATAACATCTAAAAAATAATTTAATTATTACAAGGTATTTTGCATTTTGAGTAAAAAATTATTTTTAAAAAATGTTTTACAAATAAGATTAGAAGCAGTATGCTTTAAGTTCTTAGATTACATATGACCATGGATATTGATGGAAATGATAAGATTTTTTGTACTTGTAAACCAACTTGACTTCATGAAGATCACGTCTTAAAAGACTAAAATGTTAGATAAAAGAACCTTTTGTACTTATAAATTTCAAGTTTTATCTTGTGAAGTTTTTTAATGTAAAACTCATAACAATACATTTTATTGGTAGTTTAATTTCATTCCATGACACTTGATTCCGTTCGCTCTTAATAAAAACATCAATACTAGAAGCAAAAATTTATTAATTAATTAGCAAAATAAATTAATATATTGATTTTATTTTTAGCCATGAATATCGTTCACGAATTATATTCGTGTCCGGGGGCTTGTCCAACATTTTTATTCTATTAGCTACAGTTATCAACTGTTGACCTTCGATGATAATTAGAATAAATAAAATCTATAGCTCCCTTACCAACCAAATACACATTAAATTACCAGCCATCTCCGACTCGACTCGTTTTCTCAAGACTTCAAATTTGATCCTTCTATTACAGTTCTTCTTTTCTAAAGTCTGATTAAATATTCGAAGACGATGAGCACCAACATATCGGAGGCGCACGGCTCTAATCCGCCGTTTAGCGGATACGCCTATTACTCCATCGGACTATCCATCGGGATTCTCACTCTCTTCGCGTTCATTACCGTAGTCTTGTACTTCTGCTCTCGCAGAATCGCCATGAACCCTTCACAACTGTCACAGGTTAGAAACTCAAGCTTTGGTTTACAGACCATTAGCGTCGTAGATCCTCCGCCTCAGTTAGGTGTGGATGACGCGACCTTGAAGAGTTATCCGGTGCTGTTATACTCGGAGGTGAAGCGCGATCGGAAAGGCGGTGCCGCTGGTGATTCTGCGGCAACTTGTTCGATATGCTTGGGCGATTTCAGTGACAGTGAGTGGTTGAGGGAGTTGCCGGATTGCCGTCACTTGTTTCACCAGAAGTGCATCGATTTGTGGCTGAGGATGAACTCTTCGTGTCCGCTGTGCCGGACCTCGCCGCTTCCAACGCCGGTTTCAACTCCGCTTGCTGAAGTTGCTCCCTTGGCAAGATCAAGGGATTGAGTTTGTAAATTAAATGTTTTTCCTCCCTTGTCTCATGTCACTTAGACTAATCTGATCAGCACAGCACTTGCCACCATATATTTTTAAAGGCATATGTTTTATTGAGAATTTAATCATTGCCACATATCAAGATCTCAAACTCAATTTTTAGTTGAGTTGGATCGATTATCTACCTAGTTAATCTAAGTGCCATAGGTGCTCCAACTATTATTGTTCAACACGAATAAGCATGAGTTTCTTTTTTTTTTTAATTTATAGGATTGTACTGTATAATTGGAGTTTTGTTGTCTATATAATCTTAGAAAAGCCCACTAGTGCACACATATATTTGTTTTGTTTTAAAAGGACAAATAGTGATGAAGAACCGCCAGAGAAAATTATATCAATTAAATATTAGTTATTAAAATTTGAATGAAAAAAACCTCAAATTTATGGTTATTAATTTATAATAAATTGTTAAAATTTAAATATATATTTGTTGATAAAAGATTAACCAGAATTAACAAGTATCTATTTGATTTTTAATAACAAATAATATTTGATTGATATAATTTTTTTTTAACATTCTTGATTGATATTTTTATTTTTTTTAAACATAATCCTTTTATTAGTTGGTGTACGGGGAAAAAATTCCAACTCTCTTTGCCACACCTCCCCCTTGGTATGTGTTAATTTGGATGTATTTTCGTGAGTTAAAAGAGAGCAAATCTTTACAAGTAAATGCGAAATAAGTCTAAGTTTACACCTTATATAATAATACGCAATAAAATAAAGTAATAGATCTAGATGAAGATAAATATGAATTATCTATATAATTATTTGTCGTTAACTTGTTACCATTTCTCTACATCTATATATGTATAAAGAAAACGTGAAAAAAAATAAATGTATAAAGGAAGGGACAAATGTATCATTATATTGTCTCACATGAAATATGAATTCTATTATTCTAATTATATGCAAAGTTGAACTAATTTTGAGTTGAAGATAAATTTGTGGGATAATGAAAATTTTAATTCCTCAAGTTTGCCTTAATAAATTTGGTCATTTAAATTTAATTTTTATCCATTAAGTTTCTTATATTTTCTCAGAGTATCATGTTAGATAGTTAAGTTCTAAAACATAGATTGACTTTCAAATTCATAGTGAAATGAAAACAAATTAGCCCTCAAATCACTTTAATTTTTATCAATTTATCTCTTATGTTGTGGTTTGTTCTTTTATTTTTTAAAATTTTTGAGTTTTCTTTTTTAATTATTACCTAAATAATTATACTTATTTTCATTGATCTTCATTAATCCTCAATCCCTTCTGATCTAAATATATCATGCTATTATATTATCCAGTTAAATATTATTTTTATTCATAAAATTAATAATTTCATTATATTATATACATATTTAGAGAGAGACTAGAGATGTTTTATAAAATCTATTCAATTGCAGAAACTTAATTACAAATGTTTGAGGATGCAAGAATGGAATTAAAATTTGACTAAAATATAGATGACATTTTTTTTTTTGCAGTAGGGAAATTTGGGTTAATTAAGATAATTGAATTTAGTTTAAGTGAGTAAATCTCATCAATTAAACAATGATTTAAGGTAATTAAAATATTATGAGATAATTAATATGAAACTAATAATAATCAGTTACTCCGTGAAAGCAAATTAATTCATTCGACAATGCTTTTTTTTAAAAAAAAATAACAGATGGATGGTAAAAACTACCTAAACCAACTCCATACAAGCTTTATCAGGCGAATCAAAATTAATAAGACCAACAAGCTCACTCAAAGAAGAAGAAATCAACTACAATCCATACACCACAGCAAGTCCTTGTTTTGCAAGCCAATTTGTTGCTCTATTCCATTCAATCAAACATGTTGCAACTGGATCTTCAATCACAACTAAGTAGTTGATGAATCTCCAAAAGTAGCTCATAATCTTGGTGTTTAATATTAGGTTCCGCACGAATCAATTTCACAATTTTTAAAGAATCTGATTTAGGACTAAACATTTGGAGCCCTTTGTCCCATGCCGTTTAAAGACCTATCAAATAAGTCCACAATTCAGTAGTCAAGTTATCTCTACCCTTCAGACAATAGGTAAAACAATAAATAAATTGCCCATTTGCATCACGTAGAAGCCTATCACACACAGGCATGACTCCGATGGTGGAAGATGCTCTATCAATATTAAGTTTCAACCACCCCAGGTTCAGGTGGCTGCCACTCCTTCTTATTAACAAAAAATACCTCGGCTCCTAAAGTATGCTTCATCAACTGTCAACTTGCTGCTCCCGAAACAGCTGCCATAATTTGAGCACGAGAGATGATCTCATGGAGGCTAACAGACTTCCCTTCAAACACATAGTCCTCATCAATTGTCGGCAACACTATTTCTCCCACAATGCAAGGTAGCAAATTAATAATTAGTTACAACCGTGAGCTATGTGGTTTGCGCACTTACAGTCTATGATAATGCTGGAGTTAACCCTCTCCATATTCATACAAAAGCAAAATTTTCATCTGATTTCTTGTTTTTAATAAGTAAAACAACCATTTTAAAAGTATTTATGATATATTTTTTAAATTGCCTTTTTATAAAATCATGAATTTTTTTCACGTGACAAAACTCAATTATTTTTTTATACTAAAGATCTTGCCTTCCATAAAACCATGGTTTATTGATGCCATTTTTGAAATAATTAACAATTTTTTATTAAACTAGTGATGAGTTGGTTAAAATCTGCTTGATCATTTGGATTGGAAGAAAAGTGAGAATAAAATAAGAAGGATAAAAAATTAAGAGAAGATTGATGGCTCTTGCAAATATACAGAATTATAGTAATAAATTATCTGGAGTTTTTTTAGGTGTCGAGCTCACAAATAAGTTACACTTTAACTAATTTAAATAATTAATAATTCAAAAAAATTGATAAAATGGATTGTTTGTTGAGAACATAAATAATTAAAGTAAAGTAAGAAAATAATGATGAGAAAAACACAATTACTTGAAGCGTTGGGATTTAAAATTCACCTTATATATTACTAGTTTTTAGCTTTTGAATTGAGTCTTTAATCAATTGTAATGACAACCATTCATAAAGTGTCCTAATATTCTCCCAAATTATTAATCCCTTTTTAATTAGGATTGAATTCATTTTCACGATACACAAATAACTAATTAAACTATGAAACTATAGTTTTAGTCACCATAAAATTCTAATTATTTCTAGCCTATATTTCTTTAGATTTAAGTTATCTCTTCACCTCTCAGTCTATCAATATTGCCCATAATTTGATTAAATGGTGGCCAATCATAAAATCAATATGAAGAGCAAGAGAAATAAATATAATCAAAAAAAGCAAAACCATTCATAAATATAAATGCAAAAGTTAAAACAAAAAAAACTAGCTCCTTAATTGAACTACATCCCTGCCAACTGGGCAATTTAAAAATACATAATAAAATTAAATAACAATGTTCTAACATTTTTAATTATAAAAAATAATCACAGAGAAAATTAAAGAATAGAAAAAAAATAATTATAATTTATAAAATTTCTCAACCTTTAATATGCTTCTATGATCTTCAAATATCTTATAAAAATTTATTGAAGTACTCAAATAAGTGATTGAATTATTTTTCTTTTAATAGAAGGAAGTATTTATAATTAAAGTAAAAGTTTTTTTTTATCTTAATTAATGTGAGACTCTATTGTATAAATTATAAATACTCTTGATGTACCTTTTTTTAATCCAATAAAAATCGTATCTCAATTGCTAGATTTTGTCCTTTATCATTGCCTCGTCTATCTCTATCCATCTACATGTGAGTTTGTCTCCCACGCACTGCTTGCAAGTTCACACCCTTGCCCTTTCTTCTTTTAGTTTTTTCCTTTAAATTAATCAGTTCGTTCCAACTCCTCTGATATTTTCTTCTCCTCTTTTCCTTTTCCTTTCCTTTCCTTTCATTTGATTTATCATTTTTCTGCAAAATACAAAAAAAGGAAAATTATGAATAGAATTTGTACCAAAATTCCTTTTTATCTCATAATTAAGTGATAAGAGAAAAATATATGAATATTAATTAAATAGGTATAAAATATTAACAAATCTAATCAAATATAAACCAACATATAAACCTATTTAACTATAAAATATGCACTTATCAAAAATATTTTCAAAGAAGTTTTCTCTCCAAATTTTTCTTTTTCCATGTTTTCCCAACAAAGGGCAAAAAGATAAGATATTTTCACTCTGTATTTAAATGAGAAAAAGAAAAATATAGTAAAAGAAATAACCAATTTCACCGCGCCAATAATAACCATATTAAAAAAGAAGTGTGCCCATGTCTCTTTTTATATTTTTGGGACAATTTAATTTGGAAACTTTGGCTTCCTCTCTAAAATTTTCTCCACTTATTTTGAAGAGAGAAAATTTTGAAAGAAAACTTATATCTTATTTTATTCTTTACTTTTTATTCCTTTTTTATTGATAAATGAGAAATTTATGATATAGATTTGTTAATGGTATATATTAAATTATATTGTTTTTAAAAAGTAAGAGAATAATTTATATAATAAATAAATATAAAATTTATAATATTATTTGACTTAAGGTTTGGAGATGCTTCATACTCCTCCCCCCAACCAGGGAAATTTCCCTTCATGATTGTTCTTCCGACTTTTTCTTTACATTCCTTTTCTCTCTATCCAAAACGCATGGTTATCGGGTTATGGAAGGGGAAGATATAGAAAAACTCAATCTATTGAAATGACTAATCGTACTTTAAAAATCACATATAATTATGGGTATTACTTATTTTGAATTTTAAGATAATCGAAAGGTTCTTCGTCTTTGGCTTCCTTTTTGTTTTTTATTTTTTGGACAAGGTCTTTGGCTTCAATTCCGGAAAAAAGGCTATACACAATATTGTGGCTTTTCAGCCGCCAAGAGGCAGGAATGTTGATATGCATGTTGGAAATTTCTAGCCATTTTCCAAAGTTAAATATTCATCTTTCTTTCAGTTAAAAAAAAAACTCTCCCTCAAATTCCTATTTCATTTTTCGCCATCTCATTCATAGTTTCTATTATTAATCAGATCATATAAATTAACAAAATTTTTATTCAATTAATATTGTAAATGATAAATGGGTTTACTGTTGAGCAACAGTTGTCTTAACAGCAATTACATCAAA